CAAAATAAACCATATCCAATTTCACAGAACCTTTAAAAGAAAATTCACCCCAAAACTAAGCCATAAAAATTACCCAGTTTCTTATGTTCAAGGCCAAAATGATACTATAAATGATACTATAACTATCCGATTAGCTACCCAGCAGTAACAAGATAACCAAAATTATGACCAAGATGCAACATTATATTGATTGGAAGAGAAGGAAAGCTGCAGGGCTACTTGGGGGTTGGTCAGAAGTACTTCTCCTTTATTGGTTGCTGCTTGCTGTCCAACTTCTCCGGCAGTTTTCTACAGCTTCACAGCAGGAAGCATGCCAACTCACCTCTTGCTCTGGTAGCTGTTTTCGGGGGCAGAGATCCACCAAACATAATCATAATGATAGAGTTTTCGGATTTGCTGTAGAACAGCGTGGCACTTTAAAAAAACACTAGCTGCCTTTAACTAAGGCAGGATTCTAATCCAACATTTTGAAATACGAACAAAACTGCTTTTCACAGGTTGTTGGTGCTGTGAAATCACCTGCTGCTGTGACCATCGGTGTATCCATTGTAGTCTCCCTAGTATTGTGTGCAATGGTGGCTGGCGTGTCCTACATCTACCTCAAAAGGAAGAACCAAGGATTCCAGTTTCGCTATTTCAAGGTATCTTCGTCATGCATTTTGTTTATTTAAACTATTAATATACCACCTATCATAGTCTCTAAACGGTATACAAGTTCTGCAAAGTGTCAGCTCTTCATTCATTACTCCCACAGACTTTCCACCATCAATTATATGGATTAAGTGGGGAAATAACTTTTAATTTCTTGCATTCTCATTTCTGGTCACAGGCACCTGTAACATTGTATCCATGCCAAGTATTGGGAGGAATTCAAGAGTGTACTAATTGTGCTAGTGGAATGGCTTGCACAGGAAGCCAGTACAGTTGGATGCGCAACAGATTTTATCTAGCCCTGATACTTCCTGTTGCTCAACCAGTTGCACAACCAGCTTTTGTTTTTTATTTTTATGAGATTTATATCCTGCCCTTCATCATAAGATCTCAGGGCAGTTTACAGAATAAAATACAGGATAAAAACAAGTAAAGAATTTATTTTTTTATAGCAACTACTCATTTTTCTGAGGAAAATAGTTATTTTGCTTAAAAGTTTCATAATTCCTCACATCCCACTCACATTGTAGCTTCAGTTATGCATCACAATAGGCAGGACAACTCTAGCTATCGGCTCATTTGGCTAGCCATGCTGCAGGTGTATACGGGATGAGGGAATCCCTTTGAGCACTAATGAAAGAGCACTATATCAATACTAATTATTAAAGTTATAGACCAAATTGATGCCAGTGGTTTGTGCCTTTTTTAATTAATTAATCAGCTTTGCAGTTAGAAGGGCAGAGACATGCTTAGCCTAGTTCTACTTTGCCTGTAGGCTGAGCTGGAAGATGACGAGCCTTCTCCCTGGGAGGAAAGGAGCCCACACTTGGTGTCCATTCCAAATCCCATTTATGGAGCAGACATTTCAATCTATGAACCATTTGAGGTAAGGCATCTGACCTTTATATTTTGTTGATAAACTTCACTACACTTTGTATAAATGTTTCTAATTTCAACCTTTTCTACATTTACTGTCCATATATAATCAAAATTAATTAAGAAAGCATTAGTCTCTTAACTGAATCATTTAGAAGCCACCTTGATTTTCAGGCAATCTGAAGAGGCATTGCTCCCCCAGTCTAGTGGCTGTAACTGAGAATCACAATAAACCAGCATTTATAATGACAGGAAAATTCTACCCTCCTTCTGGACTTGACCACTCCCTTGCAGCACAGCTGCAACTTTGAAAGCTTTCCATTCCCTTTTCAATAAAATGCAGTTAAACTTTTTGCAAGAGCCCCCCAAAACTGTGACAAACCTTAACAACGCTGTGTTTGACGGAAACCAACTTAACTATGGTTTGTAGAACTAAGCCAGCTTCTTCAAGATTAGCTACAGTTTAGGGTTCAGACTAATGTTAAAATATGATTAATTCAAACTGGAAACAAACACTTCTGCTCTCCTTGCAGTCTCAGCAGAAGAGAGAGGGGAGCATGCAAGTTTGTGGGAAAGCTAGGTTGATTCCTGTGATCACAAACCATAGCCTATCATGGCATCTGAATACAAGCAAAGTTTTGCTTTTCCATTCATCTTTCAGAAGGCGATCACCAAACTGGGATTGGCAGTACTTAGTATCTTGGCATAGTGCCGTTGAATAATCTTCAATAAAAGATCTAAAATGGTGAATTTAAGGCTGCCCAAAATGATTGCTTCCTTTGCTCTTGCAATGTGCACCAAGCCACAGATGGTCCACATGGCATATTTGTAGTGGACAATTGATATTGTAGTGACCGGTTTGCTTGTACTACAGTAAGTTTGCAAAAGTCAAGCTTGTTCTCTATAGAACTCTTGTCAGATTAACTGGCCTAATATGTATTTGAATGTTTGTTTCAGGATTCTCTCACCGGAGAAGATTTTTCAGATGCCTTTGGAATTCGAGGCGACCAGTAAGCTGGAAACAACACTTTTCCAGAAGCTATGTAATTCAGAATGAACAGAATATGGCTGTTATGGACTGCTAAGAAGCCTTGCCTGCCCTTTCAATGGTGACAAATTAACAAGCGGCTTGAATTGTAAATGTTTAACATACCTCAGATCCATTCCTCTTCTCAAATACATGTGCAGGAAATTGGGGTCCATAGAGCTCATTGCCCTTGCATGCACACAGGGACTTTGGCAATTTTCTGTTTGAATGTAGCCCCCTTGTGCTGTTTTGGGTGTCAGGAATGAGTTTCTGGATGTCATAAGGAGTGGCAGTAGGAAGGTGAGGGATGGAAAATCATGTTGCGTTCTTTGGATTCTGCTCCTAAATCTTCAGGCTGAAACTTAGGGAATATGATGACTCTTGAATGTGTTTGGATCGGTGGATGCTGTGGAGAATCTTCAATGGGCCAATAAAATCTGAGTTCAGTTAGATAACTTTACTCTGAAACTGCACTATGCAGCCTTCTGCCGATCCCTTTTTTTAAACGCTACTTAAAAGGCAGTTTGAAATAATACTGCCTGAAAACTGTAGGCCCATCTTCGTTTATAATCCTGCTGAATTTATGTACTGTTCCGTGAATGACAAATGTTTGTAAATGAATGGGAACAAGCAAAGGTCAACCTTCATTAAGCGTTTGGTTATTTTGAACCTAAAGATAGTTATTCAATGTTCTGCCTTATGACTGAGCGCCATTATTTAGTAATCTCCACACTGCCATAAGAAAAGACAATGTCAAGAAAAAGTCATTATCCCATGATGCAATACTTTATTTTTGTAAAAATAGTAAATAACCAACAAAAGAAACATTCTACACTTGCAAGGTCACTTAGAACAAACCACAAATTCTGTGTAGTGTGGGAAAGAAGAATGAATGTTTGTGCAGATTGTTATGAAGTAGGCACGCAGCTGACAACAGGATGCTTTGTGAGCAGACCTGTGAGCCAAAACTATTTTACCTAGCACAGACAAAATTTGACCAAATCATTATTTCAGTTCTTCAAGTTCTGAGCTATTTGGCATTATACAAAGTAGCCTACTTGTAATAGAATGAGGATAATGCTAACTTGAGCACCTTATGACACAGAACCTTAGGTTGGGTTTCAAAAATGCTTCAAGAAAATTCTTAGAATAATTTAGATAGAACAATGTCTGACAAATAATCCAGTATCACTTTTTCTGTGGAATACAGTAAATACATGGAAACAGTATAGCAAGTTAATTGGTTTCTCAGCCATTTCAATCTTACAGCTTTTTATTCAAATGCTCATTTCCTTCACCTAAACGTCTAGCCAAACTGATATTATATCACTTAGGAAAACTAGCTGTTTAATATATTTCATGTTCAAAAGCTAGGTCACAGATGGCTTTATGATGCAGGAATCGTTATGTTAGTTATTCATGTTATCTCTTCTGTGCAGTATAAAGTTAATTGGCACATTTAAAGCAGGCAACATTAATAAGGAAATGAAGTGACATCAAGTTTTATACCTTCACTTTGAATGGGAATGCCCAGCCTTTCCAGAAATTCTATGTTGGGCAGGGCTCCCCCCCCCAATTTTATTCTGGTTGACACCCCTGTAGGCATTCCACAGTGTTATGTGTTTGCCTACACAGTCCTTATCTGTTTTTAAAAGTCATCATGTTTGAAGAGAGACTTGACATAGTTGAGAACGTGTCAAAAGAGAAGAAATAACAATAAATAAATAACAGCCCTACATAATATAATTAGCTTGCAGGACACATGCAGACTATATAACTATAGTTGTCATTAAATACAGTGGTACCTCGGGTTAAGTACTTAAGAACAGACCTCTAGAACGAATTAACCTGAAGCACCACTTTAGCTAGTGAGGCCTCCCACTGCCGCCGCTGGGCGATTTCTGTTCTTATCCTGAAACAAAGTTCTTAACCCGAGGTACTATTTCTGGGTTAGTGGAGTCTGTAACCTGAAGCGTATGTAACCTGAAGCGTATGTAACCCGAGGCACCACTGTAGTAGAAAACTTCAGAGAAGCCATTTTAAGGTATGTTTGTTTCCTTACTTAAGATGTGAATGATAAAGTGATTTATTTATTTTTGCACAACTAAACTTAAGCCTATTATAGCTACAGAATAATTTATCAAACCACATTTTATAAACTAGCTCAGTGTGTTTGACTAATATGTAGAATTCTAATATAATTCCCTAAAAGAGTAAAATATAAGATACAGTACACAAAGGCCAGTATCCTAGTCTTAAACGACATCACTTTGGTACCATATACATGAGAAACAGCAACAAAACATCTCCTAAAGCATCAACTACAGTGACAACAATTTCTATAGCTTGACAGTAAGGTTGCTTTGGCATCGTTAGAATGCAATTTACCATGTCAATGCACAGTTCAGCTTAATTCCAGTTTTGAACTGCCATTTGTAAGACAAAATAGTTCTTGATAGATTTTTTTAAAACTGTGCTGGAATCATTTGGAGCAGCTTTATTTATTTATAGCCATACCTAAATTAGCCAGCACAAAACCCAGTATAGAATTCAATCAGATTGCAATATTTAAAAAAATAAACACAGGTCCCCTGCCCAGCTTTTAATTTATACTCCTGCAACGCTTATCAGAGCCAGCCCAAATGGACTTTGGTGAGTCTTCCAGAGAAAGATGTTCTATTAAATGGTATGTTTCTGATCTGCAGTAGCTGGGTACAAAAACAGGTATTAAGTTGAGGGTCAGGGGGCTCCATTATGATGAAATATAGAAAAGATGTGTCGCCAAACTAGCTTCGGCCCAAAATGTTTGCCTTTGCCAATATATAGGAAACGGCCTTCTATCAAGTCAGACCAGTTGCAGGATTTTAGATGGGACATTCCTAAACATACAGAGAGCTTGAACATGAGGCTTTTTATATGCAGAACAAGTGCAAACACTGTAACACTTCGGTTAACATGGTCTTGATAACTCACCACTTGTATTAGCTGATGCTTCTTCTGAGTAGTCTTTCAATGGCAGCTCCACCTATTGCACAGTGAAAGAGACCCAGGTTTACATCTCACACAAAGGAGAAAGCACCCGTGGCTTCAGCCATTGAACCCTAGGCTCACCTTTTGCAGCACGCTGGTGATAGATTGCGTCCTTCATTTGTGTCAGGCTAAAAAGTAGCAGATGCTTAAATAGAACACCATTTGTTTCCATATTTTGATCTCAAGTTAAGAAATAGGTTTGAAATTCAAGCTACACTTATACAATGGTGAAAAGTAGTTTTTAGAAATATATGGGATGGTATATTTAATAGGGCTGATTGAAACATGCATGCACATCATGTGACGAGTGCAGCAACGACGTTCATTGTTGAGCCATTACAAAGCTACCACATCAGCTGATGTTACCACAAACACAGTGCTTTCCAATGGTCAGGTCACACATTGTGCTACAAGTCAAAGTGTAATCAAGTGGTACATGTGGACCAGTCCACGCTCTAGCAGAAATGCACACTACCTATTGTGAAATCTCACTGTGCTCTCAGCAGCAGCCATTGATCTGCCAGGTGAGATACTTTGCTTGTTTAGCCCTTCTGGGCCATGCTCACAATAAGCTCTGTTGATCACTACATTTGTACATAAAACTGAATTGGCTATATGTTGTTTATTATACTGTGCTCAGTTGTGCAAAGATACACAAGCTAGCACCTTTGAATTTATAACCTAATCAAGTCTTAATCTAGCACATTCTGAGCTGCTGGCAGTTATTAAAGTTTAAAATTCTTTTGCCAAGGATTTAGAGTGCATCTCAGTGCTAGTGAACCAAAAGTAATTCTGGCTTAGGTCTTAAGAATATAAATGTGTCCACATTTTAGTAGGAAAACATCCAGAGCTATTTGCCAATATAATCACAGCTAAGTCACATCTAAAGTAGAGACATGGACAAATAGGGCTTTATAGTATCAACAAGTTCTGAGAATATCATCGGATCATGGCTACACAGTGCACAAACTCTGGATCTACACAAATGTTTTGGGTAGAATCTATGTAGAAGGAACTACTTTATGGAGACAGTGCACAGGAACCTAATTCAACTTTGGACTTCTTATCAGTGAAGCATTTCTAAGACATAATTTGCACAGCCTTTTCACTCGTTCATCTTGAGTATCTATTAGGAAGTGCTGGGAGGCAAAGGACAGCAGTAGGCACACACTGTAACCAGGTTGCAATCTAAGGCTAAGCTGCTGGGCCCTTCCTATACAACAGCTGTATCGCAGCAGTGGGACATACACATCCTTTCACCGGATGTGCACCATTTCCTCCAAGAATGGAGTCTTCATGCAACCAGTGCAGAGCTGGTCCATCCAAAGGGGAGCTTCATGCTGCAGCGGAGTGCGCCGGGGGTAGAAGGTGAAGTTGACATCATAGTTCAGCAGGCAACTGATGGATGCCATGTAGATGTCAGAGAAACGGATCAGTCTTCGAGAAAAGTAGGTCGGGTTGTGGAAGGTTCGAAAGATGCTTCCAAAATTGGGGGTTAAAAAGATTCTTCGAAAGTGACCTGGAAGGAAATAATTTGCTATTAAGCCATGAGACTTAGAAACCCTTGAAAACGTCTGGGGTTGTGCACGGACAGGCGGAGAACCCCTCCAGCCCTGGGTGACAGCCGAGTGGAATAATGACTCAAGACAACGTGTTATGGGAGTAAAATTTTGGCCACAGCTTTATTAAAGCTCCAGATGTAGGGAGACCTTGGCTTAGGCATTGGGCGTTTATCCCTCCCAGTCCCCAGCCAGGGATCTGGGGAACATCAGGGTTATCCAGAATGTGTGGGGATTGGGCTGGCTCTGGAGAATGTCTGTTCAAGCAGAGAGCCCGTCCCCCATTTCACCGCCGTCGCAGGGGAGATCAATGACAACCTATTGGCGTATGGCCAATGCCTCCCCTCAAAACAACCCCTTTAACGGGGAACCCTGGGATCGCCGCCGCAGGAGGGGCGTGGGTCACCGCTTCACGCCCCCCCCATTTAGGGAAGATAGACTAAAGGATTCTGCCCAATGCCTGAAACCGCCAAAGTTGTGATGTTTTGTTACGGGGGAGGCAAAACCTTCCAATGCAGGAAAATTCCTTTCTGGCCCTTCAACAGCGACCATAACATAGCAGCGCCAGTGTAAAGAAGAGGCTAACCTGCAAAAGAGGCTTAACTGAGGGAGGGCAGGGTGGGAGAAGCTCTGAAGCCAACTGAGAACTCCCAGGTAAGTTCTGCCCACTATTGTGTGGGCAGGGCGATCCCTCCCCTTACCTGGCCAACTCTCTCCTGGCAACGCCTCCCCAGCTGGGATTGGGTAACTGGCAGAGGTAGGCGGCTACCTCCAGGTGTCCAGCCTGGGGGGGGGGCAAATTCAGGCTGTACCGCCAGGAGCCACATGGGATTGGGGTGGGCGGGCTGTGCACGACCACGCAAAAGGTGCCCCCCATTTGATATGGAGAGCGGTCATTGGGTTACCGTAGCTACTCAGAATTCCTCTGCTGTGTATGGCTGGTAGATTAGTCTGTTTTAAGGGAGCACCCAGCATCCTCTTTAGAGCTTGCTAAAAGCTTTTCCTGCACCTCTTAAGTTCTGAGAGACAGATGAGGAGTGCCTGACATGTTTGTCTTGCTACTTCACCTGCCCTTAAGTAGGCCACCTGCACCCCTGAACTGTGTTCAGTATAGAAGCAAAGCAATATTGGGGAATAGCATACTATGAAAATGCCTTTTTAGTCGCAACCAGTTCCTAATTAAGTGCGAGATTTGTGTTTGGAATTTATGTAATAATGCAATGACAGTTTTCTCTTTTTTTGAGGCGGGGAGGAACAGACAACAATAAAAAAATATCAAGACCCACCTAATTTCCTGTCGTTCTTTCATCCATTCCAGTAGCACCTGCCTAGATTCTGCATCTTGATACATCTAAAAGTAAAAAAAAACAAAACCAAGATGTTTGAATATTGAACATATCTGAATATCAGGCTAAATACATGATTTAATACTTATGAAGGTTGCAGTTTTACATCTCCTTTCTTCAGAGAAAAGAAATACAAACAAGGAAATATAGCCAGGAAGTTGGCTTAGCTACGGTTAGGGTGATGGCAAGCCTAACCATAATCATGCTAGGTAACTACCTAATAAAATCACCATTTGGTCTATTTTACCTGCATTCTCTCCAAAAGTCCTGTAAGAGCCTGCTGCCAAGTCAAAGAGTGCATATATTGTTCTGTATTAATGATTCGGATTTCCGTTTCAAGTTCTGGAACAATGGCACCTGTCCTCCAACCATGCCGCAGCATGAGATCCTAAGAAGAGGGAGGGAAGGGCATAGCATACGATACGGTGATGCAGCCTTGTAAATAAGCCCACAATACACATTTTAATAGCCCTGGCATACTGATAAATCAGTTCATAGCCTGAAGGAAACAGTTTTTCATCCAGTTCTTACTTGCCAACAACAAGCAGGAAAGCCACTATTCGTTGTTAGCTTTTCGCTTTATCCTATAGTCTACTCTTTTCTTTCTCACACCATTAAATTTTTAAATAAACATTAATCTTCTTTTAGCTTTATTAGTCCTTGAGGAGTGGCAGTCCTTAGGAGTGGAGAAGAGGGGGTGGCGATCTCTGGGTTGAACAGAGTGTGCTACAGAAATGTATGGTGGTTATGTTTTATTTACAAAAAAAGGAAAAATTCTTAGTAAACAAAATGCAGCAGTTGAAATATGTTTGTAGATGACAGCATTTGCAATCGCAGGTTAGGGAGTCTACTCAAGGCCAGTTCATTCCCAAAAGCAGTCAACCACTCATGCAGACTTGGTTTTATTCCCCTTAATGAAAAATATATATACCCTGCCTACCAAAACATGAAGATAGCATACAAAAGATACAATATACTCCAAAAACTATGATGTCAGATGCGATAAAAGTACCCAATAAAACCATTCAATAAAAGCTCTGCACAGTTTTTCCTAACAGCAGCCTCGGCAAGGAAATCAGCTTGAGTGTAACTGAGCCAGCGCACAATGTCAGCTGGCAGGCTGGAGCTCTTCAGATGTACATGTAAAGAGATATAGCAGGATAGAATCCTATGCATTGTTATTACAGAACAAGTTCTACTGACCTCAGTGGGCCCTAGTATTTTTGACTAAGCATGCATAGCTATGGGCGCCTGTCCAGCAGAAACACCCTGCATCTCCCCACCCCATCCAATTTTCTGGAATGGTTCTTGCAAGGTGCAAGGGGTTGCTGCCAGAAGGAAATAGTGCCTCTCTGCTCAAAATGTATAAGGCAGATCCTGGCCAAGCAGAAAGGCAAGAAGTGGTGGGAGGAGAAACCTCTCATTTTGCAAGTTGCCTTTAGAAAAATAAAGTTAAAAATAGTAGACAAAGTTGACACGGGGGGGGGGGGGGGAGAGATCCAACAGTTACTTTTTAAACTGTTATTCTTAAAAATGGTTATATATGGACTGTGGTTTGGAAATGTGCCTTAAAATGGCAGACTAGAAGAAGAAAATATTGGACCTTTTGCAATAAACTTGATGCTGGTATGGGTTTCAAATCAGGACTGGCTAAAAAGGAACCACCTATGCAATGGGAGTTGATCATGCTGAACAAGAATCAAAGCCATAGTGTGGGTGTCTTCCACAAATATATCCCAGAGCAACAACACTGAAGAATGAAGCTGTCCTTGGATTTTGGTAGCAAGCAGAGGCCACTAAGTAGCACTGAGATAAAATTCCAAGTGGGACTGGAGTACTTACTGCAAGGTCGCTGTACAAATGGTCACCAAAATAAAGGACCTTGGACCCACGCCAGCCTGTTAGCCGCAGAAAATCAAACAGATTGCCCTTGAAACATAAGATGAACAAAAGAATGTGAGAATAAACTTAAATATCTGGTTTCTTCTTGCAAAGAAAAACAGTGTGTGCCGGTCTTGAAAAGGTCAAAAAAATAAGTCTCTCACTACTTTGATTTTTCTACAGAGCCAAGGAAACAAAGAGAAAATATTTGTTCAGAATAAGCTGCTTATTAAAAAAAACATCCATGGGTAAAAGCTTAAGGAGTTCTCACGGGAACTTTGTCAAATTAGGGGAAATGGCGACTTTGGAATGCTAGATTTATAATCCCATCGTTCCTACAAATTCATATCTTGCACATTGGTTGTATTCAAGGAACCATTCCTAAATTTATAGACTAACTGATCCCTAAGTGTGTGGTGAGTTAGGTTCTTATCTGATTTAGCCTCACTGTAGCTTTGTACAACAATCCACTGCTACTCCAATACTACAGTTGAAAAACTACAAACAAAAAGGGGTTGTATCCCGAAAGCAATGGGACTGATGTTAGTAATGATTAATTTTGGTCCCATTACTTTAAATGGGTCTGCTTTAAAGCATAGCTAAGTCATGATTCATGTTAGTGATTTGATACGTGCCGAACATTAATTTCAAGATAGTCTAGGCACAATTTCAATATGCTATTCCCAGGGCCCTCAAAGTGGGACACAGGCTATCTTCTAAAGGTACACTTACTTTTTTGCAGTGACCATTATCTGTTCCTAAGCTTCTCCCCATTGGCCCAGCTTCTGTATGTTTTGACTGGGCTGTAAGGCAGATCTGTCCTCAGATATCCTAGCAGCAAAACACAGGCTGCTGGGTTCCCTCCACTATTACTCATGCTTCCTAATGAATCCTGGCATGACCAGAACTAGACTTCCATCATCACTGACGTCAATCCCAACCCATCACATTCAAATTCATGCAGGATGAATAAATGACATTTTTTGTTGTTTAAAAGATCACCCCAATTCCAACTTTAGGAAACTTTCCCAACATTGGCATGCCTAGTAAGAATGGAGAAATGTGTTAATTTCAGTGGGAATTTGTTGTCAACCACATACACACACACCAATAATCATCTCCCTAACTATGACAACCATTCAAATGTTTGTGCTGGGAAGGTTTTAACATATTAGATTCTAAGACAAGAGTCTGGTAATAAAGACATCTGGGAAAAACACAACTAGGAAACTGTGGGTCAAAATGATTTCCCTACTGGGACACTTTTACCCATGTATTAGGTCACATATGGTATGAATATACAGAGCCTTCCTCATCTTCCTAGTCTCATCCACACAGCATTCTATTAACAAATCCTGAAGATATTTAGCCATATTATGTTTGTTTGGATGATGCTACAGCCATTGTCCAATTGGCACCATATTATGTCCGAAATCATTGACTCAGCAATGAAATACTTTGACATTATAATTCTGAAGGCCTGATTTGATCACTGCACTGCCTCAGAACCATTTCTGAATTTTAGAGAGCTCAACTGCGAATCACATAAAGTGGGATACTAACTATTTTTCGTGGTATCTTCTACTGATCAATAATCTTCTAGCCTTCCTCAAAAGATTTTTCAAGACCCTGCTAACTCCTAGTCTACCTGCGGAACAAGACAACCTCGCCTACATATTAAAAGAGGAAAACAAAATCTTCCTCAACTGTTTTCCTTCAGAAACAATGGGATGAAATCATTTCAAAAGAGCAGGACAAATATGTTTATGACTTCAGAAGGGTAATTATCCACCTCAGCTTTTAACTTATGACATATTTGCACCACAGTTCTAAGAATGGGAGATTCTAAGAAAATGGAAATAAAGAAGCTATGGAAAAAGTATAAAATTACAGCTTTTGAAGAAGAGTAGCCAATACTTTTTTCATGCTTGCTCACATACTTCAAAGTGACTCAAAAAAATTCTAGTATCCTTAAGCTAAGCCATGAAGTGATAAGATACTGTTAAGTAGTCTTACCTGTTTGTAAATTTTCCCCTTTTCCAGTTTGCTTATTTTATCCCAGTGCAGTGAACCTTTTTCATCCATTTTCCTGAAGGGTCTACAAAAGTCAAACAACTGCTGTCACAGGCCTGCAAATGAGTCTTGCTATGGAAACTTGAAGTAAGATGACAAATGAGAAGTGATTCCTTAAGTCACTTTGTGTTAAGTCATCATTAGTTTTATTATGTGAACTGTTGAAAAGTTTGTTAATGAAAGCAGCAGGAGGGAAGAAATTGGCCCATTTATTCACAACAGTTTGCATAATGAAAGTGTATGGTCTGTTTTAAGAGAAAAAAACAGCCACTGCATGCTTTCTTTTTCTAGGATGTTAGGGACTCAATATATACAACCACTTCCAACACACATGGCAGCTGGGATAGAGGAAAAGGTGTCCTAAAAATAGTTATTTGACTTATTGTACATGGATGCTTGACATCAATGGCTTGCATTACACATAGTATTAAAGACTTCAAATACTCTGCAAAAGGCAGGGAATTAACATAATACATTTCTGTACAATTTGACAAACAAGCAGTTTTAGAAGGAGATTGGGTTGATCTGGCCAGAATTTGAAAATGCAAAAAAGTAATTTGGCATCTTGAAAGGAAACCCAGTACTGCTAATGAACAGCTGCTGTCAAAACATGGCAACTGCAAACTTAATTCCTCTCTTCCCTCGCCCCACCAGTCAGGATTCCTGCCCATAGCCTGACTTCAGGATGTTCCACATTCCTGGCTCTGCCCCCCTTTATCATCAACTAAGGATGTGGGGCAAGAGAAGCACCGAATCTGCAGTTGCCATTTTGTGTAACAGCTGCAAAGTTAAATGTAATATGTAGGTCTGGTATACTACAATCACAAAACATACTTGCGTCTATCAGTGAAGAAATTCGGCTTATCTGCTTGAACAATGACCATGTCGAAAAGGTCTCGCCAGTTCTTGCCAACCATGTGCTTCATTCCTTTATCACTGCAGACAAAAACAGGGAAAGGTTGTTTCATTTAATCCAGTGCATGGTACTCTAGAGAAAGATTTCATTTTGATCTGATGAAAGACATGGATTATCTGCCAAGATTTTTTCTTTCTAACCTGCCTTCCTAACAGCACAGCAGGAGCTGAGTTTTGTTAGGGCTTACTGTTCGTCTACACAAAGATGTGGTCCACAAAATGATTTTTCCTCCCTTTACTCTGAATTCCAGAAGCAGTCAAGGCAATAATATAAAATTAATGTCATTAGCGCAAGGATTTTTTGTGTGTGCAATGAAACTCTGCTCAGTTCTCCTCTGTGCCCTCCAAAATTGTTCTGGTGGTTCTTCCCAACGGTCTAGAATGTTTTGGGGAGGCCATAATTTCATTGTGCAAGTGTAAATCCTTGAATTAATGGAACAAATGTACTGGATACTGCCCCAAGCCTTCTTACTTCTTCTCTGGGTACCTCCAAAATGCAAACCAATCCCAGAAGGGAGCCTTTCTCCATGCTCAGGAAAGGGTTGGGGTTTTGTCCTCCGTACTGTGAAAGGCTTCAGAAGCAGTCAAAAAGAAAGCTTCAGTCCGTTTTCATGTGTTGATTAGGCTATCTTCAATACATACACTGTTCTTAATGTTCTGCAACTTTATTTATTTATTTAAGCAATTTATGTAGTAGTGTACAATGAGGTTACAAAAGAGAAAAATATTAACTATGAAAATCATTAAAAGTTTTCTTTAAATGCTTTTAAAACTGTTCACCAAGCACCTCAAGTTTGACAGGGTAGACCCCTGTCAGATCTCAGAGGCATTCCAGAGAACTGGGCCCACAGTACTGAGCACACAACTTCTGGCGCATGCAAGCCAAGAGCAGAATTCAACTAAGTTGTTGTGTGCACAGAACAAGGTCTGCTAGCACAATGGGCCATCTTCTCCCTCTTCCCTGCCCTGCATCCCCAAATATGTCCTGGAGGAAAACCCAGAACAGACTTAGGGGAGTGTGTGAGGGCCCCACAGGAGAAAAGTCTTGTTGTCCCTATGTTGAATTCCACTCCATGTGTCAGAGCCACAAGGGTCAACTAACAGCAGCTCCCCTGAAGACCTGGGTGATCAGACAGGCTAGTTAAGGACTCAGGTGGTCCCCAACTGTTTAAGGGCCCTGTGAATTAATAAAATTGTTTTCTATTATTACAAATTATTCTCCAATCCTTCCCT